AATTGACGTCTGCTGAAGTCTCTGTCTTGTTGTTTTTAGTAATGTGGTCTCAAAAAAGATAATGTATTCAGTTGTCTGAAGAGCAGTATCTCCTTTGTCACAGCTGGTTCAGTACAAGGGAGAATCCTATAGAACCTTATATTACTAGAAAATTTCAGATCTTTAATTCTAGTCCTTGCTAGTCCCCCTGGCAAGGTGGAACATGAGAAAGAGAAGAAAATATAAGGAAAAAGAAAAGAGTGCAGAGGGGAATAAAGAAAAAGTCACACGCCGTGCTAATGCACAGCGCACTATTTCGCCAGATGCTTTCAGATGGACCTAGCAGGTGGCTGCTACAGCAAAAGGGGCAGTCTGTGGGGAGAAGAAGAGGAAGAAATTAACAAAAGAATGGAGGAGAGTGAAGGGAAAAAAATGGAGAAACTGCCTACTTGCCTATGGGTCTGAGTGGGTCCTGGACTAGGGAGTCCGGAAGTGAGGCGGTGGGGGCAGTTTTGCCCTTGCCTCATTGACCCTTACTGCCCAGATGCCGTCAGATCCATTTTGTTTCTAATATCTTGCCATAGAGAAGCTTTGAGTTTTAATGAAAACACAATTTGATTATCAGTCTTGTTCATGCTTTCTCTGATTTAATAGGGTTTCTTTACCATTGTCAAATTTTATTTTTTTCTAAAATTCTTACTTTGTTGCTTTTCATATTTAGAGTAGATGAATATTCTTGTATAATTCGTACAGTTAAGTCATTAGTCTACTTGACTTATTTTTATATACGGGGTATAGTAGAAATTTAAAAATGTGAGAAATATGGATGAGTTCTTCTACAATCAGAGTGAAGAGAACTTTTTTTTTAAGGATGATTCAAAATCTAAATGAGATAAAGAAAATATTAGTAATTTGTAGCTTTTGCCTCTCATAATCAAAGATTTTAAAACAAATGTCAGTTTATTATCTCAGCAATAAGTATTAAGTCATCCCTCCTCTTTCAGTTTATAATTAAACCCTTTGTTTGTATCATATGATTCCTCTATAAACTTGTGTGCCTTATCCCTGTGTTTATTTGCCCTAGGGCACATGTGCTCACTGAGGAGAGAGAGACACAGAGAAAGTGAGAAATCACCCGCAGGGTGGTGACCATGCCACAGTCTCCTCTTCTCCATTCTGTCAGGATTTGGGGCCTGCACACACACACACACACACACACACACACCCACACACACACACACACAGTGTGATTTTTAAGTTACTGGGTCCAGGACTCAAACTGAGGTCAGCCATGTGGGATTGCTCACCCCAAATGCTCACCCCTACCACACTTTTTTTTTTCTTTTTTTGGAGAGGATTTTTTGCCATAGGGCACGTGCACTCGCCAGAGAAACAGAGACAGAGAGACAAAAAGCGAGAAATCACTCCCCAGAGAGGATGGCCACGCCGCAATCCCTTCTCCTCTTGGGATCTTGGGCACGCATGCACACGCACCTGGCATGAGTTTATGCCATCGGGTCCGAGACTCACTGCGGTCGACTACATGGAAGTTCAGCGACATAGCCATTACGCTAACTGCTGGTCCCTACCACATTCTTAATTGTTCTTATCGTACTGTAAATCTTAATGTGTCTGGTAAGACAAATCTTCCTTCACTTATTCTTTAAAGTTACTTTGGTTCACTTGGGGTTTTGTTCATTTTTGTCTTATATATTATTCCTATTAGTGATGATTTTATTTGTAGAAATTCAGTTTGAAAAAACAAACTAAATTTTGTTTCTGCATTTTATTCAAATAATCGTGACCTTTTTTCAGATCCTTTTTTTCTCATTCAAAACATGTTTTGTTTGTTTTATTATCTCACTTCTAACCGTGTTACTTCTGCTTAACATACAGAAAATTTGTTCCTTTGTGTAATTTTTTTTTATTATTACAACATTATCTTTAACTGTCTGTCTTGAACTTTTTATTCAAAAATTATTTCTAATTTAATGAAAAGATACGAAAGTAAGAATAGGGCAAAGAATATTCATCACCCCTTTACCCAGATGTACTTTTTGTTAAGAGTTAGCTCAGTTTGCTTTATCATTTGTGCTCTTTCCACACATAATTTTTCTTCTCCTAAATATTTTGTAACACAGATTGTGGCCCGTTTGTTGACTCCCTTCATTATTATTTTTCTATTTTTTAATGTTGTTTTTCTTCACGAAAACCATTTGATGCTTAAATTGTAGAAACCTCTATTTAAAATGGTTTGTGTTTGCTTCTGCCATTTGCCACAGGGCCATCACTAATTTGGAATAAGTTTTTATTTTCTGTGTAAGGGGTTATTCTTCATGTGAGTGGTAGAAATTTGAGGTGCAGGCTCATAGTTACAAATTTTGGGGGGACCAGTTTTCACATAGTGCTCCAACCCTATTTCCAACCCAGGCAGACAGTTTTTTGGTTTTTTTCTGATCCATCTTTTGCTTGAACATTAGCCCACTGAGGGTCCCAGGTTTGGGCAAGGTGAAGTGAACATGGAGCACAGATTCCATATTCTGTTTTCCAGAATATGGGCTCAAGGACTTGCTTCCTGACTATCTGTGGGTTTTAAAACTCTACCCCCTAGGTTACTGAGACCAACATCGTCTCTTGGCCTCCTGGCTTCAGCACTACAGTAGTTTATGTGCGGTTTCCAGTTTCTTTTTCATTTGTGACTTGACTTTCTTATGTGAGCTCATTCATTCATTAAAAAATATTGTCTTGGGACCGGCAGATAGTGTGGTAGTTAAGGCGCTGGACTCCCACTGGTCAGATTTTTAAAGAACTTAAAATAAGTTAATAATTCTTTTTAAAAAATAATAAAAATTTATTGTCTGTCTTGGTGCCAGCAGATGGTATAGCAGTTATGTCACTGGATTCCCACATGGTTGACTGTGGTTCGTGTCCCAGACCTGGTGTCTTCAAAATCATGCCGGGTCCATGTGCATTTGTGCCCAAGATCCAGGGAGGAGAATGGAGGAAAAGGGATTTCAGCATGGCCATTTCCCCCTGGGGGGGGTTGATTTCTCACTTTCCTTTTTACTGTCTGTCTCTCCAGCTAGCGCACAAGGCAAAAACCTTTCAGGAAAACAAAAAAGTTTGTCTTATCTGTTACCTCAGATATTTGTAGCAGGAAGATTTTGTCAGAATCAGATGTCAAAATCTCACCAACTGTGGAAGCTAGAGTTAGTTTTGTAGAGACTGCCAGTCTTGGAAAATCATGATCTTTACTCATCTAATGTAATTAAAATATCCTTTCAAAATTTGAAGTGGCTTCTATTTATAACAAACTAATTTTAGTGCTCATCTAGTACAGTAGATTCTATGCATTTGGAGCTGGGTCCTACATGGCCAAAAGTTCAAATCGCATCCCCAGCGGCTTGAGAAATGCTCCAGGCACAAGTGCATGTGTGTCCAGAATCCTGACAGGATGGAGAAATGGTGGAAAAAAGATTGTGGTCTGTCTCCCGCTGCAGGGTTTCTCTCTTTTTCTGTCCCTCTCTTTTCCTGTCCTTCTGCCTCCTCTGTCTGGTGAGCACACATGCCCTGGAAAATTTTAAAACAAAAAATAAGAAAAATAGAATCGAATTTCATGTGTTCAGATGGCACAGTCTTACTGCTCTGGGAGGCCCACCCACATGGAAAGGTTTCACGTTCACCTCTGAACACACCAGGGGTGTGGTGTGCCTGTGATCCAGGGCTGGCCAAGGCTAGGGGTAGATTGTGGCATGAAGACCCTATTGGGGATGCCTGTCTCCTTCCTGGTGATTCTTGCTCATGGAAGAAAGAAATCAATAAACTTACACACACACATACCTAATTTTCAGGTAGCTGGTTTATTTGTTTTGGCTTTTTACAGATTTTTGCAATAGGGGGTATGTGCTCACCAGAGAGACAGAGAGCAAGAAATCACCCCCTAGTGGGGATGGCCATGCCACAATCCGTTTTCCATTCTCCTCTCTGGATTTTGGACATGTACTCAGTATGACTTTTAAGCTGCTAAGTCCGAGACTCAAAAGTATAGCCAACAATGTGGGAGTCTAGCAGTGTAACCATTACACCATCTGCCAGTCCCAAAGTAGTTGGTTTTAATAGACAGTGATCCATTCAGAGATAGACTCCACACAGATCTACTAATCTTAAAAGCCCAGGATATTAGGTTATCGGGAAAATCATGTCATAGTTTTCTGTTTTTCTCTGCAAAAATATGTCATGATTTTCCTGATGGACCCAATAGCTGGCAGGTGGAGAACTATTATATGACCTTGGAAGACCCAACTTAGGGAAAGTTGATGGAACTAAAACATTTGCTAGGTAGCTGCCTTTCCCCTATTTCTCATGGAAGGAAAGAAGAGAACCTCATCAGTAATTGAGAAATGTGAACTAGTTACTGTTACCTGCCAGCCAGGTGGTTTGTTTGCCTCCTTGTGGAGGAGCGATGGCTGATCTAGAAGCCAGGCATATTTGATTAAAATCCCTCCTTGTTGAATATGGTAGAGTATTTTTCCAGAATAGTCATATAATCAATAGTTTGTCTTATGGAAAGGAGACACTGTAAACAGCTTACACATTAGCTATGGAATGCACTCTGTTATATTACAGAGACTGACTTTCAGGTTACAATTTGAGGAACATTCTATGAGGGGACTACAAAAAGTTCATGGAAAATAGAACTAGTACAAGTTTATTTTGGTGCAAAAAGCTTTGAAATCCATACTTTTTTTTATAATGTTCATTTTCCATGAACTTTATTTTTAAAACTTTGTATATAATTACTTTAAGATCTATGTGCATGCAGGGGGCAAAAGCAAACCAATTTGGATACAAGTTTTATAAAAGCTATTTCTTTATGGAATCGGGAGTTCATTGCTAGTTAATCATTAGAACTACCTAAATGAAAAGTCATAGTACCAAAAAGAATGTTTAGGGGTAACTGATCATTTCATGTCTTTTTTCTCCCAGCATTTAATTTTGTTTTCCTTTTGTTGTCTTAATAGATTACCAAGAGAAATATCAAGAATTACTTGAAAGAGAGGACTTTTTTCCAGATTATGAAGAAAATGGAACAGATTTATCAGGGGCTGGTGATCCGTAAGTTCTCTTTAGTTTCTTTCTTTTGTGGCCAATTTATATCAATATATTAGATTAGAAAAATAGATTATGAAGGGATGGCATTTTGATTTAATGGTGTTATAGCTCATTATATGGTAGTTCTTATATACTAAAAAGGCACCAAGGGGTGTGGTCATGCTTTAGTCTATTCTCCATTTTTCCATCCTGTCAGGATTTGGGGGCCCGTGCATACATGCTTATTAGCATGTTTTCATGCTGCAGGGTCAGGATTTAAACTGTAGTCTGCCATATAGGATCCAACTCCCTCAAACACCAGGCTATGCGGCTGGCCCATAAGTATATTTGGCCCAAACATTGTAGCACTTGCTTAGACACTAATGTTCAGCAAGCTGAGCCCTCATGGTGGGAGGCCTGGGTTCGATTCTGGCTTACCTTAAGAGGCCAGGGATGGTGGCCCTAGCTGTAGTCTCTCTAGGGAGGCTTAGGCAAAAGGATTGTGAAATGAGGCCTTGTTTAAAACAGCACACACGCCATCAAAAGAAAAGATTCTACACATACTGGGTTGTTGGAAATGTCATGCCTATTTTTTCTGTGAAAATGCATTATGATTTTTTCAACGACCTAATAGATTTTTTCATCTATAAAATAGGAATAGTAATACCTCTCCTTGAGTTTGAAGGCTAAATAAGAATACATAAAAAAAAAAAAAAAAATACTTGATGATACTGTGACATATAATAAAAGGCATAAATCTTAGCTATTAAAAGATAAAAGGAGCCAGTAGGTGGCATGGTGGTTAAGGAACTGGATTTTCCCACATAGCTGAGTGTGGTTCAAGTCCTGGACCCAGAGACTTGAAAATCATACCAGCCAGGTGCCTGTGCCCATGTATCCAAAATCCTGGGAAGAGAATGGAGGAGAAGGGACTGCAGCATGGCCATCCTCCCGGGAGTGGGGGGTGATTTCACACTTTCCCTCTCTCTAGCCAGAAACATGCCTTATGGAAAAAGTTAAATAATAATAATTGATCAGTTAAAAGTAAAAACAGATTATATATAAAAATGTTTGGACTGATAAGAAAATATAAATTATAGGCTATTCTCATATCTGTTTCTTCATGTGCTACTATTTGTAATTAAATACACTTTTAATATATTACTGACCATCAGGTGTACCATACTTTGTTACGGCAGGGTCAGTAACTCAGGACATTTAGTCCCAGGCTTGTTAGCAATTGCACATATCTGGACAGGGTACTTAGGTCCCTTCCCTCCTAAGTAGGCGATACAGTAGAATAAATTCTGTCTTTGACTTCAGTTTTCTCATATCCTATCTCTCATGTGTTGTAGGTTTAAAAAAAAAAAAGGTGAACCACCTTTATCCTAGTGACAGTATAACTGTGGGTCAGTTTAAGGTGTAGAAATGTAGTTGTTTCCATAATTTTATATAGTATTTTAATAGTAAAAACATAGAGTGGTATTAGGACCCAAGCAGAATTGAGAAGTTTCAGTCCTGTGATTGGAGATACCACTGGAAGTCAGAGTTCTTGTCATCGATACTCCATTTACCCCCAATGTTTTGTTTGGCAAGAAGTATATTCTCTTGCCCTAGTATTGGAAATGGGGAAGAAACTGCAAAAAAACTCACCAGCAAGTAGTAAAATTGGGAAGATAGTTTTGTCACACTTGCAGGTGGCAGGAACTTGGGGGGATGAGGGAGCATGTAGACAGCATCATGTCGTAAAGGAAAAGCATAGAAAAGGGAAAAGATTGGGAATCGGAACAAATTCTGACACTGCTCCTTGCTTAGCCCAAATTTAAACTGTTTATTTAATCTCCCAGAGTTTTTTATTTAATCTCTACATGAAGATGGTAGTAGTACCCATCATTTTTAAATGGTTATGGAAATTCAGTAAAAATGTATAAATTGATCTTCATTGGCACTTTAAGCCCTACCCCCCATACTTAACAGTGGAAAGCCTTACTTTCGACCATTTTAAACACACTACTAATGGGAGAAAATGTGGGACATGTAAGTAAATGCAAATATGACTAAATTGTCATTGCAGGAATTATAGCACAAATAAAGCTTTTGGAAACTAAGTAGATAAAACCAAAAGAAGACTAATACCCTGAGGTTAAGTAGATATAAAATATTAATGCATCAGTAGAAGTGAGTGGCATATCTGAAGTTATGTTCTAGTTGCAGTGTAACTGTGTATTGATAAGATAAATATGATATTGATATCAACCTTGAACTCCAAAGTTTATATGTTAAACCTTTCATTGAACTTTTAGGCTACAGAATTTAATATATGTCTAAAAATGTAGCAAGATCTTAATTAGCTTCAGATACAAGGGACTCAGAATCAGGATAAAATTTCACTTGTCAAAATAAGCATTTGGGCTCAGCTACACTTGTGCACACAGCTAAGATGCTGTGCTCTGCCACATGGGAAGCCTACGTTCAGTTTACAGCTCACCATAAAGGCTGGGCATGGTAGCAAATGCCTGTACTCCCAGCTTCAGGAGGCTGAGACAGGAGGTTCACAAGCTCAAGGCCAACCTGGGCAACATAGGGACATTCTCTCAGAAGAACCAGGCATGATGGCTTCACTTGTGGTCCTACCTGGGAGGCTGAAGTAGGAGGATTCCAACACTTAATTTTTTTTTTTTTTTTTTTTAAGTATTTGGTTGGCTGAAGACCACAGCTTACATAATTCTAAAGTTAGGCTTGTGTTCTCTATCTCAGTCTAGGAAAGTTATATTACACATATTTCATGACTTAGCATCTTAGACATTTTCTGAACTGAGAAACCTTAAACTTATTAATCATCTTTTACTTCTTTTACAGATACTTGGATGATATTGATGATGAGATGGATCCAGAGATAGAAGAAGCTTATGAAAAGTTTTGTTTGGAATCAGAGCGTAAGCGAAAACAGTAAAGTTAAATTTCAGTATATCAGATTTTATAAAACAGTTTAGGTATGGTGATTTAGCAGAACACAGGAAAGCAAGAAAATATGTCACACTTTTAACAAATGAAGGATGTTGAGTTTTGTTACTAATGTATGCAACTTTAATTTTGTTTAACACTATCTGCCAAAATAAACTTTATTCCCTATAACTTAAAATGTGTATATATATATAATAGTTTATTATGTACAGTTAATTCCACTGTTTTGGCTGCAATAAAATCAATTTTGAAATAAATGAAATGTTGAAAGTGAATTTTGCTAGTTGGTTAGATGCTTATTCTTTAAATTTTGCCTTTTTTTTTTTTTTTGAGGGAAGAAGTCTTAGCCTTGAAATATTACTGCAAAAATATAGCAAACTTTTTAGATATGAGTATTATAGCTTTCAATTTAGTTTGACATTTAGTATCTCAATGAATTGAGCTTCAAATATTCAAATATAAATCATAATCATGAAAATCTTCAGCACTGATGTCTTGGATCATTAAGTAATTTACATATGCAGATGCTGTTTGATACTAAGGGCTTTAAAAATGTCATTAATAAAAAAAGGCTTGACAACCAAGGCCTTTCACTGAGGATCTATCCCAGTTCTAGGCCTGTGTTTTTTCACCTGACTAACTTCATTAATCTAAGGCCTAGAACATTATTCTGCTTTATTTATATGGCTTTTTCATTTTTATTCTATAGCATGAGTTGCATTGACTTTTTTACTAGAGAATTTTACTAGATATTTGTCATTCAGGTACTCATCTGCTTTATAATGGATACACCTTGAGGATCACTTTTCTAATACTTTTACTATAATATGGTACCACCTCAACCCTCCTTAGGTAATCTTTTTACCTGATGTCAAATCTTTTCCAACTAACTAAAAGTAAAACTTATGTACAAAAGGATTGCTTGTAAATATGCATGTAAATAGTTCTGTTAATAACCCACTGTTCTACATTTGGTACATCTGTGTCTGCTAATACAGTTAGCTTTCTCACTTTTCTGCTTGTTTGTTTAGTCTGAATTAAAATTAGACTTTGAAAATAAAACTTAAATAGTTTTGTTTCCTCTAAGTTTTATACCTTATACCTCTAAGTGGAATTCTGATATTTTAAAGAATTTGCTGGTGAACTTGTTTATGTGGCATAATAAATTTTACTTAAAACTTCAAAGTCATAGAAATCACACTAGGATAGAAGATATTCTATGCAATGCCTATTGACTAAGAGCTCAGTTTAATATCAAGTCTACATGGAAAACTAGCAAATACAAAACATTAAAGCTTTTAGGTTGCTTTTATAAAAGGGCAATATGAGGATTCTTCAAAAAAGTTTGTGGAAAATGGAATTAAAGTATGAGTTTGATGCAAAAATTGAAATCCATGCATAGTTTTTTTGGTAATACACATTTTCCACAAACTTTATAAAGACTCTTTGTACTTTAAACTTCTAGCAGTTGTTTTGTAACCATCCAGTATTTGTTTACTAGTTTATTGTTGCCAACTACCGCCATACTCTGAGGAGCTGTCAACAGGATCATTTTATGTTCTAGATATTACTGCTGCTTTAAAAAACCACCCAAACTTAGTGTCTTAAAAGTCATTTTATTATTCTGCCTCAGGAACTTGGACAGGGCACAAAAGGTAATAGTTTTCTCTATTCCATGGTCTGAGGCCTCAGCTGGGAAAACTAAGGGGATAGTAACTCAAACTGTTGGGGGCTGTAATGATCAGGAGTGTCTTCTCCGTGACTGTTGACTGGACTGAGATGACTAGAACTGTTGACCAGAACCATCTACAGTTGGCTTGCCCATGTGGCATGGACATCTCATGGCATGTTGGCTCGATTCTAAGAGAGGGCATTCCAAAAGAACAGAAAGAAGCCACATTCAGAAGGTGTGGAACATTATTTCTACTCATCTGCTTTATAATGGATACACCTTGAGGATCACTTTTCTAATACTTTTACTATAATATGGTACCACCTCAACCCTCCTTAGGTAATCTTTTTACCTGATGTCAAATCTTTTCCAACTAACTAAAAGTAAAACTTATGTACAAAAGGATTGCTTGTAAATATGCATGTAAATAGTTCTGTTAATAACCCACTGTTCTACATTTGGTACATCTGTGTCTGCTAATACAGTTAGCTTTCTCACTTTTCTGCTTGTTTGTTTAGTCTGAATTAAAATTAGACTTTGAAAATAAAACTTAAATAGTTTTGTTTCCTCTAAGTTTTATACCTTATACCTCTAAGTGGAATTCTGATATTTTAAAGAATTTGCTGGTGAACTTGTTTATGTGGCATAATAAATTTTACTTAAAACTTCAAAGTCATAGAAATCACACTAGGATAGAAGATATTCTATGCAATGCCTATTGACTAAGAGCTCAGTTTAATATCAAGTCTACATGGAAAACTAGCAAATACAAAACATTAAAGCTTTTAGGTTGCTTTTATAAAAGGGCAATATGAGGATTCTTCAAAAAAGTTTGTGGAAAATGGAATTAAAGTATGAGTTTGATGCAAAAATTGAAATCCATGCATAGTTTTTTTGGTAATACACATTTTCCACAAACTTTATAAAGACTCTTTGTACTTTAAACTTCTAGCAGTTGTTTTGTAACCATCCAGTATTTGTTTACTAGTTTATTGTTGCCAACTACCGCCATACTCTGAGGAGCTGTCAACAGGATCATTTTATGTTCTAGATATTACTGCTGCTTTAAAAAACCACCCAAACTTAGTGTCTTAAAAGTCATTTTATTATTCTGCCTCAGGAACTTGGACAGGGCACAAAAGGTAATAGTTTTCTCTATTCCATGGTCTGAGGCCTCAGCTGGGAAAACTAAGGGGATAGTAACTCAAACTGTTGGGGGCTGTAATGATCAGGAGTGTCTTCTCCGTGACTGTTGACTGGACTGAGATGACTAGAACTGTTGACCAGAACCATCTACAGTTGGCTTGCCCATGTGGCATGGACATCTCATGGCATGTTGGCTCGATTCTAAGAGAGGGCATTCCAAAAGAACAGAAAGAAGCCACATTCAGAAGGTGTGGAACATTATTTCCACTACATTTTCTTGGTTCCAAGCAAGTCATTAAAGCCCTATCAGATAGGAGGACATTAAGAAACATGTAGACATGTTTTTTTTTTTGTTTGTTTGTTTTTGAGAGGTTTTTGCTATAGGGCTCATGCACTCTCCAGAAAGAGACAGACAGCGATAGAAAGTGAGAAATCACCCCCCAAGGGGGATGGCCACGCCGCAATTCCTTCTCCATTCTCCTCTTGGGATCTTGGGCATGCATGCACATGCACCCATCATGAGTTTAAGCCACCAGGTCCGGGACTCGAACCACGTTCGACTTACACAGGAGTCCAGTGACATAGCCATTACACTAACTGCTAGTCCCCATGTAGACATGTTTTAAAACTGCAGCAGTACGTAATGAAAGGAACTGGCCCTGTGCCCCAATCACTGACCTTTAGGATTGCCTTAGCCTCAACAGAATCGTGTCAATAAGCCTTTCGTAGGGATTATTAGCTAAGTCACCAATCAGCAAGGACATAAACTTGCCAGTAAATGCCAAAGTCTTATGTTCTGACAACAAAACACAAAAACTGGTCTTAACTTAGCAGTCATGTCATCAATTCAGATGCTGTCTTTATATTCTTGATGCCAGTCAGACTACCAGGAACACATTTATACCTGAATGTTAAGTTTATTCTTGCAGTGAGAGAGTATACACACCTTGGGGAAACTGTAGTATGTCATTCTTAGGGTCTTAGAACCTATGAGTTGGACCTGTGGCACAGCAACTATGTACTGCTCATGAGAAGTCACATCCCATGATGCAACTGGTTTGAATCCCCGACATGGTCAATCTGAAACACACTAGGCATGTGTGTGTCCAAGAGTCGACAGGCTAGAAGACTGAAGGAAGGGGACTGCAGTGTGATAAGACTCTGTGGAAGGTGCTGGATTCTTCGCTAAATAAAGAGGTTTTGTTGTTGTTGTTGGCTAGAGGGCACATGTGCTTCCTGGAGAGAGAGAAGGAAAAGTGAGAAAGCTCCACCCCATGAGGGATGGTCACGCCATAATCATTTCTACATTTTTCTTTTGGAATTTTGGGCATGTATGCACATGTACCTGGTGGGTTTTTGAAGCTGCAGAGTCCAGGACTTGAACCTTGTTGCTGGCCATGTGGGATCCAGCTACCTTAACCATCATGCTGCTAGCTGACCAGAATTTCTTTTTTAAATCTGTAATAGTATTTGGGCTCTGGTTAGGTAATTTAGGGGATGGTCTAAGACACTAGAGGTCAGAAAGCAAGGGTATGTGTTTCTGTAATTAGGTATGTCATAGGACAGGTGAGTATGGGTTAAGTTGTACTTGTTTCTTTAAAGTTTTATTCATGATAGCATATGTGTGTTCACAAGAGAGAAAAGTACCCCTTATGGGGTCTTATTCCACAGTCCCCTTCACCACTTTCTAGTATGACAGGATCTTGGATCTAAACTGGGGATCTGAACCCAAGGTTGCTCATGTGGCTTCCACCACTACTGCTGACTGTGCCACCAGGCCAGGTCAAGTTGTACTTGTTGTAGGAAAAAAAGTCACAGCAAAAGAGGATATTTGGTATGAGAGTGAAAACCTAAGCAGGACCAAAAGTTAACTCAGACTGAAGAAGAAGGCAGTTCTATTAGGTTGGGAGTACAGACACTAATAAAGCCAGCTACAAAGTTAACAGGAAACATTTTTTTAAGGCCATAAATTAGCTATAAAATGCCATCGTGACTCCCACCTTGTGCAATCACTGCTATGTTACCAATGTTGCCCCCAGACTTGCTTCTGCCTATTACTGGGTTACTGTGACTAAACTGCCCTTGCCTCATGATAGCACCTGGACCCCTAGTTAATCCCCACTTGTAATCCTCCTGCAAAAACAACATCCAACCCAGGACTGATTCCTTTCCTTTAAAGCTTCCTCAGAATCCATCAGCAGAAACCTAAACCTTACTAAAAATGGTGCTCTCCTCCCTCTTGTAGAGTGTACCATCTTTTGGTTTTTCTGGAGAGTGCTCTCTCACTTACAAACCTATAAATGTCAGATGACAACTTGAGGCTGATAGTCTTCTGTTGATTAGACTTGAGCAGATGTAAATAATCCCAGTTCAGGCATGCTGTTGCCCTATTGTGTCCGCCTGGCAAAGCACCAACCTTGAATAGCATAACACTGTTTCTGCAGCTGGTAGGTTTGTGTCACTATGGCCTCTTCCGCCACTATATACAATTGTTCTCTGTAGTCACCAATGACCTCTACGTCGCTGAATTCAGTAGATGCTTCATTCTTTTAAGCTTGTCCTCTGGCAGTATGTAATACTGTCAAGTTGCACCAAAATTGAAAACCTTTAGGTATCTAGGACACAACTTGCTTCTGTCTATATTCCTCCTCAATGTCTTTAGGACCTTCTCTACCTAATCTCTAAGTTTTGGTGGTCTTTAAAGCTCAGTTCTCCTCTCCTGTCACAATATTCTTCAACTATTTCATCCCCTCTTATAGCTTCAGCTAGAGGCCATCTGCCAATGACCTCCAGATCTATTTATGTCTCCTGATTCCAGGCCACTAACTTGCCATTTCTGAGATAGACTTAGAAAGTTGGGAACCAGCAGTTAGCGTAATGGCTATGTCACTGGACTCCCACATAGTCGACCGCGGTTCACATCCCGGACTCGGTGGCTTAAAACTCACGCCGGGCACGTGTGCGTGCGTGCCCAAGATCCCAAGAGGAGAATGGAGGAGAAGGGATTGTGGCGTGACCATCCACCCTGGGGGGCGATTTCTTGCTTTCTATCTCTATGCCTCTGTCTGGAGAGCGCATGCACCCTATAGCGAAAAAATAAATCTCAAAAAAAAGTTGTCATGTTCTTAAATTTGCTCTTCCTCTTACATCCCCCTCTACCTCTTACATCCCACCTACCCACTTGCTCCCACCAGAAACCCTGTCATTTTTTTCATCTGCTGCCTTCTCAACCTCCAGGTTCAACTACCACCAAGAATGGAGTTGATATCCTAAATATTTCTTGGAGCTGTTCTTGCCATCCTTACTGCCCAGGTCCTGAGTCCAGTTGCCATCATCTCTTTTTTTCCAGAAGCCTTCTACTGGGGCTCTCCACATCTGTTCTTGCATCCTATAATCCATTTTCCACTCAGCAATTCCAAAAACCTTTCTAAAATACAAATATCATAAACTCACAGTAGTAAACAGAATTTCTATATAGGAGGTTAAGAGAGTGGAGGGCGGAAATGGGAGTGAAACAGTACCTAAATAAGCACTGTATAATACAAACTGATGTTACAGATTAATAAAAAAAATTTATCTAAGAATGTCTGTATTTATACTTTAAGATTTAGGTAAGATTGAGATCAATTTCCATATGAGCCTTTTTTTAAATAGAGGTGTACTTAGGGACTTAGGTTTCTACCAAGTCTTTGGTCTTGCCACTTTTGCTTAAAGCCCTTGTCATAAACTATTAGACCTCAATGAAGATGTTTTGTTTTGTTTAAAAAAAAAAAAATACTTGGCTGAAGATAGAGACTTCTTTTCTTAATTTTGTATCCAAACCTAATGATTTGGCCTGGCTTGAGACTTCTCTCCCCTTCAGGCCTTTCCTCCCTCTCATGCTTAAACCAATCTCACTTCTTTCAGCCCTTTTATAGGGGAAAGTCACCCTGGCTCAAGGGCCTTACCACAGGGTATTTAACCTCTGCTTGAAATGCTTCTCTCCCTGCTTTACCTGATCAACATCTACTTAAAATCCAGGTTTCAGTAGAAATACTTTTCACCCTATGCTAGTTCTGCTCACTATCTGTTCTCACAAGCACAAGGTAGTCTCTAGCCTCCATCCTCACCCCCAAAGAACTGGGGGGGCCCTTTTTCCCCCAGTGTGCCTGGCACAAGTAGACCCTCCACAAATATTTAACAGCAGTAAAATGGTAAACATATCTACTTGCCATTTTAGGGAATATAAAAAAAAAGATTCAATTTCTGATCCCAAATTAGTAAAAAGAGGTCTCGTTTTTAGCCAAGGTTTTTATTTTTTATTTTTAACAGCTTCATTGATGTACAGTGTAACTGCTGCCCAGATTCTTTGGCGTCGTTCCACTGAAGTATTCTCGTGGTTAGTTCTTGGCTGGGCAGGCAGAAAGCTGGTCCTCAAAGAACTGCACTACGACCGCGCACACCGCTTGCGTGACGTGTACCGGAAGTAAAGACCGAAGTGGGCGGAGCAGGTTTCCTACGAGGACCCACAGTCCTCCCCGCTTCCTGCCCCGCCCTTCGCAGGGAGAGCAGTGGGACGTGGCTCCCGGGGCGGTGGGGCGGGGTTTCCGGTCTCCCTCTCCAGAGAGAAAGCCGTTTCCTGAGGGCGCGGGAAGGTTTGAACCGCCGCTCTGCGTCTTGCGCGTTCTCTTCGTCGCAGCTCTAGTTGCTGCCGCGCTCTCACTGCCGAGTTGACAGGCAAGTGGCAGTATTTCTCGGCGACTAAAATCGTTTTCTTTCATCAAAAAGCATAATTTGGTTATTTCATATTCGAGAAACATCCCTGAAGTAGTCTGCAGGCGCAAACGCTGCGGCTTTGAGCATTCTGGAAAACAAGCTCTGGAGCGGGCGTTGACTGGCTTCATTTCCACAACTTTGCGCCTCGGACTTGCCCTGTGCATGTAAGACATTTGATTGTTGTTCTGGTGAGGCTTTTTCTGCAAGTAGGTGTCGCATTTTTAAATATGAGACTCCCATTGATGTCAAGAACAAACGTGTGGCTATTTGATTGTTAAACATCCTCTGAAATAATGTGCTGGGTGGTAGGAACGCAAACAGGAATCAAGTCGTAGAGATGAGGCTGGAAATGTAGGTTAGAGCTGGATTATGGTTTCCTAGGACATGCCAGGAACTTTCTATAGTGCACTGCTATGTGTGCTTGATTAGGTAAATAATCCAAAAGCAATTCCGCCTCAATAATACTGCTTGCTAAATAAATAAATAAACTTGGTCAAATATAGAGACCACTTCATGTCCCAATTTGAAATCAGAAGATACGTCTTTATGTGTTAGCATATTTTTTCCTGAGCAACTAGTCATCTGAAATGTGCATATACACACATGACTGTGAGACAAATGTGTTGCCCTTTATTGCTGTGACTATTTATTACCTTAAACAACTATGTAAACAAGTGATATAAAGAAGTTGGTGTGTAGGAGATCTGGCCTCTCCAGCCCCACCCCCCCAACCCCCATGTAGCGGAGTGGAGTAGAATCCTCCAGGTTTTTCAATTAAACGAATTATTTTTTTCAGGAAAAAAAAAAAGAAGTTGGTGTGGTCTGACTTGGGGAGTGTCACATGTGACAGCAATACTAGAGATTGGTTGGAAAGAGAAAAAACTGGAAAAAGATCTCAGATAGTTGGCAGGAAAAAAGATCTCAGATAGTTGGCAGGAGTGGAGGGGAGAGTTGAAGATGTGAAATAGAGAAGGAGAAACAGAAGGCCAGATTCGGGAGAGAAACTTCAAAAATCAATAGGACTATGTTATTGGAGTACGGAGAAAAAGAGAATGAGAGGTCAAATATTGCTGACAGTACTAACAGTGACTCAAGTTGCATATTCAAAAACAAGAATTTAAACATTCACTTATTATTTTAAAATTCAGTGATGAAAAAATTTGCCTAAAACTGTTTTAGATGCCAGAGACTCAATTGCAAATAAGAAAGGTAAGGTCCCTGCTCTGGTTGTGTTTATATCCTAGTGGGAGAAGATAAAAACCAGGATAGTAAGTGGAATAAGTTTTGATAATGATAGATGCTTTGAAGAAGAAAAGATGGAGTGAGATTTTTAAAAAATGATTGGTGGGGCTGGGCAGGTGGCATGGTAGTTAAGGTTCTGGACTTCTACATGGCTGATAGCAGGTGGAGTCCCAGCTTGGTGACTTGCTTTCTCACTTTCCCTTTCTCTTTGTCTCTCTGTGGTAAAATTAAATAATAAAAACAAATAATATGAAGTAAAATAAATCTTTTTAAAAAATTATCAAGATGGTTGGAAGCAACTTCAACTTAGCTGGTCAAGTTAAGCCTTTGCTAGAGTGACTGAACACCTTAATGACATGACACAGAATTAGTCATGTGTCAAGTCAAGGAAAGGACAAGTTAGGCCAAAAGAACATTGCAAAGATTCATAGATGGGAAAGAGCTTGTTTAAAGAACATTAAAAAGGCTCATGTGGCTAAAGTGTCCTAAACAAAGGCAAGAGAGTTAGGAGATGACATTTGGAGAGGTAGACAAGGCCCAGGGCCAGCTTGTGTGGCCTTTGCAGGCTCTGGTTAGGAATTTGGATTTTATTCTAAGTGCACATGGAGGGAATTGATGGGTTTTAAGCCAAGGAGTGATAGATCAGGTTTTTATTTTAAAAGATTCCTCAGAATACTGTATGTGGCCTGAACTTGAGAGACAATATAACAGTGAAAGTGAAATTGAGATATTACAGAAGTAATAATAGTGGGAATGGTGAAGTTCCATTTTAGTCATGTTGAGTTAGAGTTACCTGTTGGACAGGGACTTGGAAAGAGGTCTAGCAGATAGTTAGCTGAAAGCTCTGGAGTAAGGTAAAGTAGATTTAGAAGAGCTCTAAAGGAAGTAAATAATTAAAGTGTGAATCTCCTCAGGAGAGATCATGTGGTTATTTACTTACATCCTGATATCTACTACAAAAAATTATAGACTATGTTATATAGAGCTGATTACATACATTGAAAGGAGGCAAGTTTAAAAAATAATTTTTTTTAAGTTTTTTATGTTTTGCTATAGGGCATGTGTGCTTACTAGAGAGACACAGAGAAAGGGAAAGTGAGGGATGGCCATGCTGCAGTCCCTTCTCCATTCTCCTCACAGGATTTAGGGTGTGCACGCACACATGCCCATAGTGGTTTTTAAGCAGCCAGGTAGGTATAGGACTCAAACCAGTCGGCCATGTGGGAGTCCAGCATCTTAACCACCAGGCCGTCTGCTGGCCTCAAGATTTAAAACAAGTTTTAAGTGTTACATAAAAGCGACTCAAATTTACAGTAAAAAGAGAAAATGGCTAAAATCAAGTCTTAATTCTTGATTTAAGGGAGTGGTGAAGAAGAATGATTAAACTAAAAACAGAGGTAGAAATAGTGAGGAAAACCATGGTAGCATAACGTTGGAGTGAAGAGGCTGGAAAGAGAGAATGTGATACAGTAGAAGTTAGACAACATTGTCTCAGGTTAACCAGATTAAGAGGATGAAAACTGAAGTCACTGGGTGTATAGACGTTGATGACCATTGTTAAGCAACATCAACAGAGAGGTAGAGAAAAATCTGGATTGCACTGGATTGAAGATCCTTTGAAGATAAAAGAGAAAGTGGGCAATGGACAGATGCCACACTTGAGATGTTTTTTGATAGGAAATAGGGCTAAACTGGGGGAAGTGTTTATCTTCAAAGAGTTATTTTGTTCTGACAGAGTATAGAAGGGAAGTATAAACTTCAGTAGAAGTAATGCTACTTAAGTTATAAAGACAGTTATAACTTTGTGGACTACCTTCTCCTTCTAGATTATGTTTCTACATTAAAGTTCTAGGGGTTAACCAAAGCATTTTATTAAGGATGCTAGTTTCAAATCACTTAAATACAGTAGTAAGGTCACTTTTCCTCCAATAAAAGTAAATACAATGACAGTGTGTTTTGCTTATGTTCTTAGAGAATGCATCCATTTATTTCAATATAACTTTTTGTACATTAAGAGAACTATTTGTGCTGTTGTATTTCCTATTTCCTTCAGTCTTTGCCTTGGAAGGACATCTTAGCTTGTTATAGTAATGACGGCTGAAGTATGGATGGTACTTTATGAAGATGACTCAGTGCATGTACAATATGTTGATGGTTCCAGATTACAGCTTTCTCCTTGTGGCTCTGAATTCTTATTTGAAAAGTCACCTCCTATTTCAGCACATCCCTTAGAACAATCACAAAGAATTCGACAAAGAACACACTTTGTGATTAGCACCTACCGTGTAAGTAAAGAAGATTTTAAAAACTACTTTTTAAATTTACTATTTATTATTTCTTAAGTATTTTATTGAGAGATTTTTGCTATAGGGCATGTGTGCTTTCTGGAGAGTCAGAGAGACAGAAAGTGAGAAGTCACCCTCCTGGTGGATGGCCATGCCATCGTCCTTCTCCTCCATTTTTCTTTCAGGATTTTGGGCATGCATGCACACATGCCTGGCATGACTTTCAGGCCATTGTATCTAGGACTCAAACTACTTTGGCCACATGGGAGTCCAGTGTCTTAACCAGTATGCCACCTGCTGGCCCCAAACTACCCTTTTTAATATTCTTGAGGTGGGCTAGCAGATGAAAAGTAATTGGTATTTTATAAAAATAGAACTGCCAATGATCCAGCAATTTGACTACTAGGCATATCTCCAAAGGGAAGGAAATCAGTATGTCATAAAGGTATCTGTACCCCAATGTTTACTACAGCACTATTTATAATAGCCAATAAATGGAAGCAACCTAAGTATCTATAAACAAATAGATAAAATGTAGGTAAATACACAGTGGAATACTATGCAGCCATTATAAAGAGTACCTAGTGTTATAAAATAGAGTGGGGAGAATGTAATTACCTGACTTACTGAGGAGCTGGCAGGTGGTTTGGTGGTTAAGAACACTGTACTCTCACATGGCTGACTGCGGTTTGAGTCTTGGACCTGGCATCTTGCTTTCTCACTTTCTCTCTCTCTCTTTCTCTCTGGTTGAATTAAAAACAAATAATAAGTTAAATGAAATAATTCTTTTGAAAAAGTGACTTACTGTATATAATATAAACGGTTGAGATGATGGGTATACTAATTACTCAGATTTAACCATTAGTTGCATGGGACTAGCAGATGGTGTGATGGCTATGTCCCTGGACTCCCATGTTGTCGGTCACAGTTCGAGTCCTGGATGCAGCAGCTTAAAACTCATACCTGGTACATGCGTTAAGTGCCCAAAATTCCAAGAGGGAAATAGAGGAGAAGGGATTGTGGCGTGGCCATCCCCCCCAAGGGGTGATTTCTCATTTGCCGTCTGTCTTTTTGTCTTTCCAGCAAGTGCATGCACCCTCTAGCAAAAATCTCTTTCAATAAATAAATAAATAAATAAATAAAAATCACTCATTACACATTGTACTCACGTACTGAAACCACATTGTAATAATTATTAAACTAATAAAAATTATTTTAAAAATAATTGATATTCTGGATTACTGTCATTCTGAATTGATTTTCAAATTTTCATATACTTTTAAGATTATATTTTATATTTCTTTTTAAAGGAGCAACTACAGCGAGCCCTAGATTTTCGAAACTCTTCAGCTATTTATCCTTATTTATCTGAAAACATCATACCTTCTGAAAGAAAAAAGGTGACCTTTTATACTTCATTTTTGTAAGTAATGTTTGAGGATAGATATTAGGAACAGGTAGTCCAATGTTTAAATTCTTTTTATTTCAGGACATTTGAGAATAGATACAACATAGTATGCACAGACCTATATCCTTCAACAGAAGGTACATGATTTCATCTCCCTGCAATTTTCTTTGTATTCACAGATTATAATAGGGGCTTTTTCATTTCAGATGTCTCAAAATTAGAATATGTGACCATTTTCAGTAATTTATATATAGTTATTTGTTAACATATAGTAAAGATATGTAATTATGTCTGAGTATAAAACTTTTATTTTTTCACTTATATTTTATTTTGGACGGTTAGGAATAATAATAATGACTGTCACTTACTGATTGTTTACTGTATGCCAAAAACTAGGAATAATATTAAAAATAGGGACCAACAGATGGTGTAATGCTTATGTCACTGGACTCCCACATGGCTGATTGTGTTCAAGTCCCAGACCTGGAGGCTTGAAACTCAAGTTGGGCACATGTGTGTGTGTGCCTAAAATCACAAGAGGAGAATAGAGGAGAAGGGATTGCAGCGTGACCATTTCCCCAGTGGGTGAATTTCTTGCTTTCTGTCTCTCTCTCTCTCTCTGGTGTGCACACTCATCCTAAACAAAAAAAAAAAACTCTGGGAAAAATAAATTGGGACTGGTCCCATGGCTTGATGGTGGAGGGTGCCAGATCCCACATGACCAACCACTTAGTTCTATTCCCAGCCCTGGCATCTTGAGAAACACCAGGTTTGTGTGTGCATGGGTGCCCAAGGTCCTAAGAGGATGGGAGATAGAGGAGAAAGGATTGTGGCATTGCTGTACCTCACTGTGTGTAGGAGGGTTCTCTCTCCCTCTCCTGTTATCTCTCTGTCTCTTTTACCTCTCCCTGAAGGACACGTATACCCTCCTACTTATGAATTAAATAAATACATTAAAAATATTTAGAGACCAGCAGATGGCATACAGAATTGCTTGATTCCTACATAATCAACCGTGGTTCGAATCCCAGACCCTGTGGCTTAAAACTTGCCAGGCACGTGTGCATGCCTGTCCAAGATCCTGAAAGGAGAATGGAGGAGAAGGGATTACAGCCTTGCCACCCCCGGGGGAGGGGTGATTTTTTTTGTTTTCTGTGTCTCTGGCAAGTGTATGTGCCCTATAGCAAAAATATCTCTCTCTGAAAAAAAAAATTAGTAATTGTATGACATGGGTACCCACTGAACAAAATGAATGTACAACCAATCAGAGCAGATTTATTGGCTGGGTTTTAACCTTTTTTTTTTTTTTTTTTCTCAAGTATATTTATTTGTTTCTTCTATGAGAGAGACAGATAGGTACCCCCAACAATCTTCATGCCACCATTTATCTCCAGCCTCGGGCAGCCATAATCATGGGCATGGTGCACAGGGAGACATCAGGACACATACCTGGGACCTTCCCATATGGCTTCAGCATCACAGTGTTGCATTACTGCTATGCCTTTGTGGCTAGCTATTGGTCCCTTTTAACAGGCAAGGAAGTTACCATCTCAGATTTGTCTATGGAAATTTTCTAAGTGGCAAAATCAGAATTTGAACCTGGTCTGTCTGATTCTGAAGAATGTGTCTTTTTAACTACTTTCTAGTACCTTTCTGTGCTATCAGGATATTTACCTGTCGACTGAATAACTTTTCTATTCTATAGTTTTGTGACAAAGGAACCATAAAAAAGTATAAGTTTTAACAGTCTAGAAGTCATTTTCTGGTATGTGTCTTTTGAGCTTTGTTCATTGAACTACATTGCTTACTTTTGATGCCCCAGTAGGATTGTTAGCTAGTCTAATTCTAGAAGGGAAACTTTTCTTTTTTTTTTTTTTTTTTTTTGGGGGTGAGGTCTTTGCTATAGGGCACATGCACTCACCAGAAAGACAGAGGGAGACAGAGAGACAGAAGGCGAGAAATCACCCCCCAGGGGGGATGGCTACACCGCAATCCCTTCTCCATTCTCCTCTCAGGACCTTGGGCACACACACACGCACACAAGCAACCAGGTCCGGGACTCGAATTGTGGTCGACTACATGGGAGTCCAGCAACATAGCCATTATGCCATCTACTGATCCCCCGGAAATTTTTCTAAACTGAGCATTCTTGCAAACAAGTTTTGCCATCAGTAAATAGTGCCCTTAATTTTAGTATCCTAATATCTGTATACATAGGGTAGCTCTGTAAATTTAAGAGGCGTTCTTGATAATAGTTTTTGTAAATTTAAGGTTTTTAATTTAAGGAAGTTGAAATGCTATATTATTAGGAAAATTATTTGATTTAAAGACTGCTAGGACTAGCAGATGGCATAATGGTTATGTCGCTGGACTCCCACTTAGTCTACTGTGATTCAAGTCCCAGACCTGGTGACTTGGAGCTCATGCTGTGCACGTGTGCATATGTGCCCAAGATTCCTAGAGGTGAATGGAGGAGAAGGGATTGCAGTGTGGCCATCTTCCTTGGTGGTGATTTCTCGCTTTCTGTCTCTCTTTCTGTCTTTCCAAAAAGTATAGCAAAAATCTCTCTTTAAAAAGTAGCTAAGGTACTGGATTCTTACGTGGCCAACCATGGTTCAAGCCCATACTCAGTAGCTTGAAAATCACTCCAGGTGCATGTGCATGTTTGTCCAAAATCCCAAGAAGAGAATTGAAAAGGGATTGTGTCATGACTATCCTTCCTGTGGGGTGATTTCTCAGTTTCCCTCCTTCTCTCTCTCTCCAGCAAATGCACACACCCTATGGCAAGAACTTGAGGAAAAAGTTAGGTAACACCTACTAGTTATATAAAAAGACACAATAGGTACTGTTACTTGTTATGATATGAGTCTCATTGGTATTTGTGAGGACCAATTTACTTTTGAGTAATTCAACTTTTAAAAATGTTACTCTTTAAGTCACCTGGAATTTATTTTAGTGTATAGTGTGCCAGATTCTATCTACCGTAGGTATCTTATACATATTATCATATTAGTCTATGTGATAACCCTCTGAAAGAGCATTTTCCAAATGTTGTTCAGTAATTCCAGTACCATTTATAAAATAAGTCTCACTTTTTCCTCTCGCTATGAAAAGCTGTGTTGTCACGTAACATTTTAAGACATTATTGAGTCTGATTTTGTAATTCTATGTTGTTCTGTTATTACTTTTTTTGTTAGTTTCATACTATTTAAGCTATGATTTCTTTAATATATGTATAGTACATTGTAGCTCTCCTTTTTTCCAATGGTGTATGACATATTTTCTTCCTAAGAGAGATAATATTAAATAGTTTGGAAAACCATATATAGCTGGAATCTGTGCTCCATCTTTCATTCTCTCAAGGTGGTAAAAACATAACCAAACATTTAAGAGTTTTCCACAATAGGTAAGTATCAAATGTGTAGAAAAATTGGACTGTTAAGAAAAAATACTCACTATCTCTATTTTCCCCTCTTTAATTCAGCGTATCTTCATTGACCTCTTAGAAGTGAGATGGCCCAGTCTTAATGCAGATGATAACATGATATGTTTGGACAATGGCACTGTGAGGGTAACATCTTTGGATGGGCATGCATATCTTTGCCTGCCCAAATCTCAGCATGAATTTACGGTACATTTTCTGTGTAAAGTTAGTCAGAAGCAAGATTCCTCTGTAGTATTGTCAGAAAAAAATAATCAAGAGCAAGAAGACCAACTAGTTCAAAAGGCCGGCAAAATCTGTACATGTGGAAGTTTATCAGGACAGAGACTGAAGAGTAATGAAAATGGACTTTATTGCCAGATTATGAAATCTAAAGGATCTTTAGAGAAGACAAGTTGTGCAAGTGGAACCGAAGGAAAGGAAGAACTGCCTTCACCTGCCACATGTGTATACACCTGGGTAAAGCAATGCTGGTCGGTGACCTCCTGTCCAGAGGAATGGAAATACCCTTTGTCTTTAGCGCTTCATTTTCATAATAAAATGTACAGTATATGTAAAATTGATGCAGATATCACCCAGACTAGAATTTTAACTTCTGATGTTTCAGAGGAAAGAGGAAACGAAGTTTCTGCTCTTCCCAGGGCCCTGTTCCTCAGCTGTCCTGTCCCACACCTGCACAGGTAATGGAAGAACAGCTTATTGGTCATAAAACTTTTGTCAAAACCAGTCTTTACCTAAAGATAATTTTCTTTCTAAATCATGTGATACCATTCATAAGAAAAATTATTTTGTTGATCCAAAACTTTGCTTTTAATTTATTGTAATTAATTCCCTTAGCAGATTTGTTGTTTATGATTCTGACTATCCATGCTGCACTAGATTTTGTTAGCACAGTGACTGTAGAGATAACTAAAGCATAGCCCCTGCTTTCTAGCAACTCAGAGCCTGTGATGATCACTGTCCCTAACGGATTATTAAAGTGTGGAAAATATTGGGACAGGAATCCACACAGAGCTCAGTGGGAGTGAATATAGACAGGCACCTACTGCTGCTTACTGGAGCCAGTGACCTCACTTGCTGAAGCATGGATCTGACAAGGTTATGATCATGGCTTCTTTCTTACATAACTAGCCTCAGAGGCTAGCTATGTCTTTGATTAACTAACTGTAAATATGTTTTTTGCTTTTTTTTTTTCTCTTTTCTAGAGGGCGGTCACTCGCCAGAGCTCAGGGGAGAAACCCTCCCCCCGCCCCCCATGGGGAATAATCATGCCACAGTCCCTTCTCTATCTCTCCCTCCTTTTAGGATTTTGTCAAAGCGTGTGTGTGCTTGCCAGAGTTAGGTGGAAAGAGAAAGAGGGAAAGTGAAAAAGCACTCCTCATCGGGGATGGTCACACCATAATCCCTTCTCCAACTGTCCCTCCTTTTGGAATTTTGGGCATGCATGTACATGTACTCAGCTTATTTTTCAAAATACCAGGTCTAGGACTCAAACTGTACAGTTGGCTATATGGGATCTAGCTACCTTAACCACACCACTGACTAGTGCCATTGTGTCTATTTTCAAAAGGGGTAAACATGGGGAGGCTCTGAATGGCTAGGTATAAATAATTTTATCTCCATTAAGAGATTAATAACTTAATTGTGGATTTATTACATGAGCTTTATATAAGTAGTACAGTACTCCTGATAATAACTAACACTTAAAATTTGCCTGTGTGTCAAGCACTGTTGTGCTTTACTTATTTGCTTTCGTAGTAACCCCATGAGGTAAATACTGTTAATCATCCCTGTTTTGCAGAGGAACTTGAGACAGAAATTTTAAATAACTTGAGCAAAGTCACCCACATAATACTTGCAGAATAGGGTTTTAATCTCAGATCATCTTTGAATTCATATTTGTTAACTTAAAACAACTTGAGAGGGGACCAGCAGAAGGCCCCAATGTAACTGCTACAGTTAAATTGCTGGACTCCTTCCATGTGGCTGACTACAGTTTGAGTCCTGGACCCAGCAGCTTGAAACTCACGCAGAAGCTTGTGCATGCATGCCCAAGATCCCAGGAGGAAAATGGAGAAGAGAACATGGCATGGCCATCCCCCCATGAGGGGAGGGGATGATTTCTCACTTTCCCTCTCACTGTCTCTGTCTGTCTCTCTGGTGAGAGCACATGCCTAAAGGCAAAACCCTGAAAAAAAATAAAAATAAAAAATAAGACATAGGATGACAGGCTTGTCATGGTTATCTAATTAAGACTGGAAAAATCCAGTATGAATACATACCCAAATACTGATTTTTGCTTTATATATATATATATTTTTTTTTTTGAGAGAGAGTTTTTGCCTCTCAAAGGCACATGTGCTCACCAGAAAGACAGAGAGAGAGACAGAAAGCAAGAAATCACCCTCTGGCAGGATGGCCACAGTGCAATCCCTTCTCCTCTCGGGATCTTGGGCATGTACGCACATGCGCCCAGTGTGAGTTTAAGCCACCGGGTCCAGGATTCAAACCATGGTTGACTACATGAGTGTCCAGCGATGTAGCCATTACACCATCTGCTGGTCCCAATTTTTGCTTTATACTTCTAAATTAATAATTTTTCAATAACTTACTGGCTTTGGGTTGAAGTCCATTATACTTAAGTGGTTCAACATGTCTTTCATCTGGTTCCTTTATCTCTAATTTTCAACTTCCTCACTTCTCTTGCTCTTGCCCTCTCTTCTCTCGCTGAATTGACCTTTTTTCAATCCATGGGATGTTTGCTCAAGCTCTTTTACCACCACACCTACTCTT